ACGCCAAAGCATATCACGCAACAACGGCATCTGATTTGGACCATGCGATAGACGCCATCAATGATGATGCGCAAGCAAAGCAGCGGATTTTTGGACAGGGATGGTCTGCAGAAAACCAATTCCCTTTAAGGGCAGAGCTAGGTCGTTTGAAGACATCGTCATGTGTGGAAAGTGCAAACCATAGGGATATGCCGTTTCGTTCATGCCATTTTGCATTCAGCCTATTGCAGGCGGCACGATCAATCCAGGAGCACCACGAGCGCAGGAGCAAAGAAGCGCATGGATGGGAACAGCCATTCCCACCGAAAGTAGCAAGGCTAATCAGGGAGGAGGAAATGGCAGCAGCACACATACAAGAGAGGCATGTGACATTCACGTATGCGAATGGTAAAGTGGTGGGTGCGACAGTGAAAGACGCAACTTTCGGTGATGCCCATGTGGTCTTCGATCGTTTGAAACACAGGAATCCAGGCATGGCCTGCGACTGCTCGTTTGGAACAGAAAAAGGAATCCCATGTAGGCATGCTTATGTCGCGACCAAAAAAAATGGGCAATATCTCTATAATTTGACAAATAGAAAGTACACAACGCAGGCATGGAAAGACGTGTACTGTACGGAAGAGGCAGACGGAACCCTTGTCGTCGAATCTCTACGTATTCCGAACATGCATGATGTGAAATTGCATTTACGGCAGTACAATATGTTTCCGGTAACGAGTTAGTGAGTTTAGACCACCTATCATCATCCAGCTAAATAAAACTGCTGGTTGTGGTGGTCCTCTCCCAGCTCGCCGCTTCCCCGGGGTCCGGGGTGGCGCGGCTTATATTTTTTGGTGTCATGGTTTCTGCTGGCAACCAGAGGTTGGGATTGAATGATAAATTGCTTGAGCATTTGAAATTGGAGGTCTGTGATATGGCTATGGGCATGTTGTCAGGCGGCGCCATCCCGCCGGCGCCTATCCATGAAAACACACTCTTGGCTCTGATGTTTGAATTACTACCATATGATAATTCTGATAAATCAGAGTTTTCTGAGGAGAGGCTTCACAGTTATTTGAGCGGACTCAATGACGAGATAATCGAGGAGGAACGCAAAAAGGAGCCCCCTGAACTCGGGTCAGCGTATGACATCCTGCTGCAGCTTCAGCAGTCTGTGGGCCAGATGGCTGGACAATTGGACGAGATTTCTCGCAAAGTCCAACGGCATGATGAAATTCTTAATAGCCGTGGGGCCACTGGCCAGAGCCAAAGCCGGGTTAAAGACCGGAGTTTTGAATGCCCTGATCCCAAATATACATCCTTGCAAATTTGCTTGGGGGGGGAGAGGGAGCCGGCATTAGACCGGAGTATAGTTTTCACACCTTTGGATCGAATTTTTGATCAGGTCATGGGCCTTGCCTTTCTGAAGGGCGATGAGTTACGTCCGGA